TGTGCTCGTTTCGCCCGAAGTTAGGAATTGCGATCATCTCGAAACGATCATTGCTAGCCAATACCCGCTCCTCGTCGGGCCTCAGGCCAGGCGTCTTTATGTACACAGAGATCGTCACGTCTTCCCCCCACTCGCCGTCTCTGATGTCTTCGCACCAATAAGGTAGCGTGTCGTTGGTTACGCTGATCACGACATTGATGGTATCGGGCGTCTTCCGCGGCAATTTCGGCTTGTTTATCGCATGCATGTCACTCCAAATACTGCCGAAACTTTGATCGAATGCCGCCTGGTCCTCTGCCTTGAAATACCTAATGTCGCCAGCTACTTGGCGATCAAATCCATGTTCTTGTGAGATTGCACGGCTTGCTGAAAACTTCTCAACCGATAGTGCGGACGTGGAAGACACACAAAATATGTACACACTGAGAAGCCGATACAAATTCGCCGGCCCAACGGGCCAGGGCGTGCTAAGATCTCCGGTAACTGGTTAACAGTATTAACAGTATTTCTAGTTCGCGCGCGCGGGGCGGCCCCTGGGGGTCCCCCGGCGAAAAGTACCCCGACCAACGCCCGGTCGCCGCCCGACCGCCGCCCGACCGCCGCCCGACCAAGTCTACTCAGAGATGGTTTTCCTTCTGGGTGCGGCCTCTCAGGCTCCCCAGAGCGCGCTCAGAGTGCCCCAAGAGGCCCCCAAGACTGCCCAAGAGGCCCCCGAGACGCCCAAAGAGCGCTCGAAGACGCCGAAGATGACCCCAAGACGGCCCAAAAGGCCCCCAAGACAGCCCAAGAGGCCTCCAAGACGCCCCAAGAGCCTTCCAAGAGGCCTCCGAAGAGAGCCCCAAGAGGCCAAAATCGTTGATTTTCATTGTTTTTTTCGATGTTTTTTGTGTTCTGGCTTTTTCGGCTTCCGGACGCTCCAAGACGGCCCAAGAGGCCCCCAAGACCGCTCCAAGACGGCCCACGAAGCTCCCAAGACGGCGCCGAAACGACCCAAGAGAGCCCTCAAGACGGCCCAAGTGCCGCCCAAGACGGACCAAGAGGCCCCAAGACGGGCCCAAGAGGGACTCAGGAGGGATACCGAGAACTCAAAAATGGAGCCCTCCGTCCCAGAAGGCGCCCAGGAGGTCCCAAAGAGGCCCCAAGAGGCCTCCAAGAGGCCCCAAGATGTCGCCAAGAGGCCCCAGGAGACTCCCAGGAGGCCCAAAAGAAGCCCCAGAAGGCTTCAAACATGTCTCCCAGGCGCCCCCGAACGGCCTCTCAACAGACCCCAAGAGGCCCCCCAAAGAAGCATCTTGACGACGACTCTATTTCGCCCCATCGAGAGACGACCCCCAGGGAACTGCTTCACCATCAAAACTCCCCACGCAACGCGTCCGAACGACACCCGCCCCCAAGAGCGCAACATGGACAACGAACACACAGACAAAAACCAGCGATGCCATATCACGGGCCGGCGGAATGAGCGAAGCGATTCAATAAACCATCAACCGATCCGCGCGAAATGCAAGTGTTCGGTATGCAATCCTGCGATGCGTCACCGCTCCAAAAGCCAGGTAAAACCAGGCTCGAGCCACAACGTGTGCAGAGGGTGGGGGAGATCGACAGGGAGAACGGTGAGGAGGGTGGGGGTGGAGGATGGCAGATAGCGAGGAGGAGGAGGAATTGGGGGCAGACAGCGAGGAGGAGGAAACTGGGGAAGGAGTGAGGAGGAGGCCAGGTCTACTCGGAAATGTCTCCCCCCCAGCGGCCCAGAACCCAGACATGCGATGTCCTGATTTTTTCAGGACGGGGTCCCTGGAAGTCCCGACCCGTTCCCCGGGACTGGTTCTTCATCCTGAGCCGCTTCTTGACGCTCCCGAGGCCCGGCGAGGGCCCCCCGAGGCCGAAAGAGGTGAAACACCTCCCGCCCGGATTTTTTCGCGACGCGATCGTGTCCGGGAGCGCGTCTGTGGATCTCGACGGCCGCCACGGCTCGCCGACGCAGCCAGGGGAGAGCAGCAGCCGGCTGCAGGCGGGACGAGGACCGCCCGCCGACCCCCGCTCGCCGTCGCCCGGGCGCCCCCTCCCCGTGCAGGCGTCGGCTGCGTGCGCGTGCTTCGCGCGAGAGGTCCCGGGAGGCTCCTGGCTGCTGGACGCCCGGAAGGGGTACGGAAATGGTGGGTATACAATGCCCAACGGCAAGCGCTGTCCCAAACCGACAGCGGCCGCTGTCGGGCAGGCGGCATTTTCTTTTCACTGGACACAGGCCGCGGCGACGCCGATAGCGACTTTTGTTCAAAAGGATCCGAGGCTGCTGTTGGTCTCTGTACCCCTTCTTTCCGTACCCATGTCGGTCGTCCCGATGGATGGTCCCCGAACGACATGTGCTGACCACCACTGGCTACGACGCTTGGGCACGGGTTGCGAAGTTAGGGGCGTGAGACCACCCGAGGGACGACTCCATCAAGATGTGAGCGGGCCTCGGCCCTCCCGGCAGCTCCCTCGCGGAGCCTTGCGCCGGCTTCCGTTAGGAGGAGGCGAGGAGGATGAGGAGGACAGGGAGGGACACAGCGAGGAGGACAACGGGAAAGATGAGAAGGAGGATGATGGATGAAACGGAGTCTGAGGAGGGGATGGGGTTGGAATGATGGGCAGGGCAGGAGGAGATGGTCAGGAGGGTGTAGGGGAGAAGAGCACGGTCGGAGGAGCCAGAGTACTTGGAGGAGGGGGAGAAGCACAGGGAGGTGGATGAGGAGAGAGAAAAGAGCAAAAGGCAGGAGATCGCGGGGGCAGGCCGCCGATGATCTTCCTCCTCCTACTTCTGCCTCCTCCTCCTCCTCCTCCTCTTCCTTTTCCTCCTCCCCCTCCTCCCCCCTCTTCCTCCTCCATAGGGAGGTCGGAAGCAGGAGGACTGGCTGCGGGCACGGGCGCAACTTGTCGGACCCGGCGGGAGGCTCCCGTTCGAGCGGGGACCCCCAACCGACAACGCGCACCCGCAGCCCCCTCCGCCCCACCTATGGGTACGGGTGCGTGTTGTCCATTCGTCCCTGGACTCCCCACGTCATGATTTGTCCATGACGTTGACCCCCAGAGGTCTTGACCCATTCCCCGGGACTGGCTTCTCGTCCTGAGTCAAGTCCAGACGGCTGCGACACCCAGAGCAATGGCCCGCAGAAGCCGAGCATCGCGAATCACCCTCCGTCGTGACTTTTTCCACGGCTCGAGGAAGGGGGAGGGCGGGGAGGAGGAGGGGGAGGAGGAGGGCGAGGAGGAGGAGCAGGAGGACGAGAAGGAGGAGGAGGAGCAGGGGGAGGGGGAGGAGGAGGAGGAGGAGGATGAGGAGGAGGAGGAGGGAGGAGGAGGAGCGCCGAGGAGGAGGAGGAGGAGGAGGGAGGGAGAGGAGGAGGAGGAGGAGGAGGAGGAGGAGGAGGAGGAGGAGGAGGAAGAGGAGGAGGAGGTGGAGGAGGAGGAGGTAGGTGAGGAGGAGGAGGAGGAGGAGGAGGAGGAGGAGGAGTGAGGAGGAGGAGGAGGAGGAGGAGGAGGAGGAGGAGGAGGAGGAGGAGGAGGAGGAGGAGGAGGAGGAGGAGGAGCGGGGGGAGGGGGAGGAGAGGAGGAGGAGGAGGAGGAGGAGGAGGAGGAGGAGGAGGAGGAGGAGGCGAGGAGGAGGAAGCCCTGTGGTCCAGCCGTCCAAAATAGCTCCGCTTCAGTCCTGTGGTCCACCGGCCGTTTTCCCGCTTCGCGCCCGGGTCTTCTGCGGCCCGGGGTTTTCCCAAGGTTTGAACAGCGCTACACGCTGTTTTAAACAGCAGCTAGGGCAAAGGCACCCTGCTGAGCTGCTTTCATTTCTCAGGAAGAGGAGGAAGAGGAGGAGGAGGACGAGGAGGAGGAAGAGGATGATGAGGAGGACTGCGCTGGGCCCAGGAAGCAAATAATTAAACCGACCCGACCCTAATTCGAGACCTGAGATCTAGATCTCCTCCCGACGACGCACGCCTGCCCCGCTCCGCGGGGGGCCTCCTGCAGCTAACCTCGCAGCAGCGGCCCGAGCGCGGGCCGCCTCGGAAGGTTTGCATTGAGCCTGGCCCTGGCGAGGGGCAACACAGGGATGTGCTTCTGGGCTACTCTTCGCACCTTGCTATCATGCAAGAAGGAACACAAACTATCGAGACAAGCAACAGTGGAAACGAGCTCGCAGTCGGACGCAGGCAGGAAAGGGTGGAACGCGGCACGGTGGACACCACTGGCAAAGAGGAAGCGCGCGGGGAGCAGGGGAAAGAGCGGGCACAAACAATGGGCGCCTGGACATTCGAGGATGTGCCTCAGAGAGTCTCCTCCGAGAGCAACCCTGCAAACATAGCATTTCCGAGTCTGATTAGGGAATATGGCAGACGTGGACACACTGGCAACTTTTGAGGCAGGAGCGACGCGCGCAATCCTTTGGACAGCAATGAGCACGCGTTATGACGAGGTCGCTTCCATATACAGGCAGCGGCTGACCGCTCCCCTGCACCACGGGGCGCCAGCTCGGTTTTCTTCTGGAGCTGGCGCTCGCGCTCAGCAGGGCCCGCAAGGGTGGCTTTGAATTCGCGATGTTTCTGGCAGAAGGTGGCCGGACATACTGGCGCCTTATCACCAGTGGAATCGCCGCAAATTAATACAATCATCATGGCCGCTGCAATTTTCCAAGAGGTCCAGGATTTCGAAACAGGCGGGAGTTGTGGCAGCGAGCCTATGCAAGGCCGCCTTGCCGACGCAAGAAAGATCCCAGACTTCACGAGGCAAACGCAAGCTTTTGTTCCCAGTCAGTCAGCATCCCTGGCGCGTAGGCATTACGAGGGGCGCATGCTAAATTCTAGACTGCGCTAGCCACAACCTGGGCGGCGGCCCGAGAAGGCAAATGACATTGCATCGCATGAGGCAAAACCGAGACCCCAGTGGAATTAAACTGACCTGTGCTCTTTGCTAGGCCAAGATTGAGAGTTTGAACATCGCAGGCGCGGCTCCGGCATTTCGCCGAAAGGGCTCGCCAACTACTCATGTGTCCGTCTTTTGCTAGATGATCCCCAAGTGCTTCCCCGACGCGGCAACTGCGATGAAACGGGGAAGGAAACCGACGTCGGCCAAACGCTGCTGGACATATTCTGGGGGCGCACCGTTTACTCGGATGGCGACAGCCTTCGCTGTGTTGAGCTTTAGCCCCGTAGCTCCAGTGCAGTGGGTGAGGACTGGCACAGCAGTGGCAAGCGCGTCGAAGACATCGACACCTCCCGCGCCCAGATCGTCAGCAAACGCAGCGCGCAACGATACGCAGAGAGGCAATCGCGTCGCCAGAGGCCGATGCACAGGGTCGACAGCAGGAGCGAAGGTGCTGCAGTGGGCGCCCTTGCTTTTTTCCCCTCCTCAGCTGGAGCATCCCGCCTCTAGCTCCTCCGAATGCAACTGTGATGTGGACCTCAGGGTGCAATCTGTGAATACTTCCCGGCGAATGCGCGGAGGAACTTGCAGCGCTTCGAGAATCCAGAAAAGGAGACCGTGGTTGAGGGCCAGGAAGGCTTCTCGCAATCGAAAAAAATGAAGCCGGCGTCGAGCAGCCCGCGTTCATGTGCCAATGCATGACATTGCCCACGAGCTGCAGCAGGTTCTGCGCAATGGATCGGTTCTCGACAAAGCCGCGATAGAATCTAGAACCCACCGCAAGATAGTCGGCACGCACAGCGAAAAGGAACATTGGTGGCCGGTGAAATCCCTGGCCAAAAATACAACGTCGCCCTCGTCGAAGGAAGCGGAGAGCGCGCGGCCAGTCTGGAGTGCCAAATAGACCAAGTATATGATGTCGCGCGACACCGCCCGCTCTCGAAAATGCTGAGTACGACAGCCCATCGGGGCCATGAGCTGCGCCCCGCATCCTCATTATGTGACGGGCGAAGCCGCCTCGGGCAAAGGCCCATCCGACGCGGCATAGGGGTGGGCGGACGAACTGCTGCAGCTCTCGCCGCACTTCGAGATCGCACGAAAATTCGCCATGAACGGCGCCCAAAATTTTGCCTTAGAAGCTGGCGCGCCTGCGGGGGGCCAGAAGCATGTTGCCCAGTCGAATCCGAGACGCGCGATAGACGAACCCTGCGTTTCACCTTCCTGCCCAAGATAATGCCACAGGATCGATAACATTAGCAAGCTCGGGGCAGGCCGCAACCGCACGAGCGGGCGGCGAGGGGCCCGAGGAAGGGCCAGCAGCCAGGGCTCTCATAGCAGCTAGCGACCACGGCACGTGCGCAGGGGTGCTAACAGCTCCCGCTCGCCCCAGCTGGCTCTTAACGAGGCTCTTAACATTGAGGGCAGCAGCACGGAGTGGGTCCTTGCATTCTTCAAGGGCTGCATGCGGTTCGCTGGACTGGATGCCAAACTTGTCGAACACATACTTTCGCATAACTGTGTACAGCTGATGTTTTGAGATCCGCCCGGGAATGCCTTGCACCTCGTGGCGGCTGTTGCGCGAGATCGAAAAGGCAGCGGGCAGGCGGTCGGAAACCCTGTTGTTTCCGCGTGCCTTGCCAATGGCCGAAGGGCGCAAACCAGAATCCCAAACATTCGGCTGCGCACGTGCTTGCGTAGATGCGACCGATGCGGGGGGGGGGGGGGGGGGGGGGGGGGGGGGGGGGGCGAGATACCATGGCCACGACTCATAATTATCACCGCCTCCATTGCGTTCGGATATAGGCGCAGGGGCGCGAGCGCGAGAAAGAAGCTGCTCAACTCCACGCATGCCCGGGGGCAACGCCGCCAAAGACTGCGCCGTGGTATGCTGGGGGTACGCAGCGCGACCAGACAGCTGCCCCCCCCCCCCCCCATCGGCGACGAAGTTAAAGTCCCCCCGCGATGAAGCTGATAACATTATCATGAGGCTCTAACTTTGCTTTGATGGCACGGAGAACAACGCTTTTTGCTGCGAGCGGTGCCTGCCAAGGACTCTGCGAATATTGAAGACGCGGAGCTTGACGTTGGGGCCTGCGCATTTGATCTGATGAGCTCTGCCAGGGACCAGCACATGATGGGAGACATGGGGTGAATCGAGCACGAAGACTAAGATGAAGGAGGGCGATGCAAACCACAGGCACGGGTAGCTTCAGCTTCGGTGTCGGATGGGGCGCAGAACGTGCCAGGGCCAAGACCGTCGGCCGTCCCTTTCGGAACACGTTGCAGATCATGGGCTGTTCTTCTAGCTTCTTGAGTGCGCGTGGCAGAATAATGAGCCGATCGATGGAGCAGGCGAAGCGCTATGTTTCTCCGCAACGAGGGAGGCGGCCAGAGTGAGCCAAACAAGCAAGATACAATAGAACAGCTGTCGGGAAAAGCGGCGCGGGCAATCGGCCAGGCTGCCGGCGCCGGCCGCCCCGGGCGAGGGCGAGGAACAAGGGGGGGCCTAAGAGGAAGATGATGTACACGAGGTGGACGAGGCACTGCTCGAACTTCTACTGCGCGAACGAAGCGAAGTGGATGGGCGAGCACGTTTGCGCCCTCGGCCTGCACCGCAAGCCGAACTCTCAGGACGAGAGCGCTTCCTGCCAATGTGGCAACCAGCTTCAGCTCGCAAGCATGGCGCTTGCGCCCGCTGGTTAAGACCGCCTCGATCGGAACGTCCTTCCTGCGTTTGAACTCCCTACAGAGACCCACGTGTGCCAGCGGCCTTGCGCCATTCGGACATGGCCTCAGCAGAGATCCGAAACTGGGCGAGGAAATCTGACTCGGGCTCGATCTGCCACTGCTCTTGGTCGAGCTCGACGATCCTTGCGAGAACGTGCGCGTCATCCTGCGCTGTGACGAATATGAAACTTCGGAACCCATTGCATCCGAGCGTCCGCTGCTGCTCCTTGCAGGGGGTCTTGTGCGACTTCCAGACCTCTGATATCTACTGCCAGATCTGACTAAGCACCTTGTGCCTGGCGCGAACGAAAGGAGGAGCGCCCAGCCTGACCCTGAGCTCGACCTGGCCTACCTTGGCGTCCTGGTAGTAGTCCCCGCGGTCACGAGCGGCGTCCACGAACGCTTTGGCCTGGATAGCATCAGGGAACTTGAGATCGTATAACTGCACTATCCCAGTGCAACCCGACCTAGGAGTTGGAGCCCCTAGGGGAAACAAAACATGAGCAGTAACGGTAAAGCTGAGCTAAAGCTCAGCTTAAGCTAAGCTAATGCTAAGCTAACGCTAAGCTAAAGCTAAGCTAAAGTTAAGCTAAAGCTAAGCTAAACTAAGCTAAAGTTAAGCTAAAACTAAAATAAAGCTAAGCTGAAGCTAAAGCTAAAGCTCAAACTAAGCTACAGCAAAGTTAAAGCCACTATAATTCTAAGCTGCAGCTAAGCTACAGCTAAGCTATGGCAAAGCTAAGGCTAAGCTAAGGCTAAGCTACAGCTAAGCTACAGTTAAGCTAAAGCTAAGTTGAAGCTAAGCTAAAGCTAAGCTGAAGCTAAGCTACAGCTCAGCTACAGGTAAGCTACAGCTAAGCTCAGATTCAGCTAGAGCTAAGTTAAAGCTAAGCTACCGCTAAGCTGAAGCTAAAGCTAAAGCTAAAGCTAAAGCTAAAGCTAATGCTAAAGCTAAAGCTAATGCTAAAGCTAGGAGACGCAACTGGGGGAACCGCTCCCAGGGGACTGGGGGAACCGCCCGGGGCGATTTCCACTGCCCGGCCCCTTTAAGCTAGAGAGTAAGAACTCTTCTAGGCAGAGCCTAGGTAGGGAACAAAGCGAGCCGAGATGAAATCTGCATTTTGGGTGAAAGCGGCTGGGAACTGGGCATTGACCCATCCACAATGTCTTTTGAGAACTCGTTGCAGCATAGGCCTCTTGACGCCGCCGGTCCACACCTTACCCTTGTCGCCTTTGATGCCCTTTTCGGGGTTGCGCCGGCCCTGAAGCAGACGATCAGGAGCAGGAGTACTGGCTACGCTCAGAGCGATGCTGGCCGAGGAGCTGCCATCATGGGAATGGTCGCGATACTTCCTTCCTCTGGAGCTCGCCGAACTGGACCTGGATCTTCTCGTGGAAGACTGTGCCGAAGGCCTTGTCGACTGCTGACTGCATACTGGTCTGGACGGTGTCGTACTGCTTCTGCATGATCTCTAGCTGCAAGTTCTGGTCATCGATTTGCTGTTTCTTTGTGTCGAAGTAAACCGAGACCTTGTTGAGTGGGTTGATGAGCGCCTGCCGCCACGCTGGTTGTGATGCAGGAGCCCCTGAAGGGTCTGAGAGATCCTCGTATTCATCTTCGCTCGCTTTCCTCTTGCGTCCTTCGGAACCATCTGTCATGGTTTCACCCTGATATGCACTCTCGCATACCTCAGCAGTTCGCGCCATGACTGGGGACACAGGAGTGAGGCGCGGAATGGTGCAACAAAATGATGCACGCCAGAAAAAAAAAGACAGCAGGTGGGCCAGAGCGGGGCCACGAAAGCTGCCAGGATCGTTGGACTGAATTGGTCGGGCCTCCCCCTCGGTTCTGTTCAAGATGGAAGCCCCAGGGACAGCTTCCGTGAGCTAAAATGGCTTGGGCCCAATTGGCTTGAAACACGATGGCTACGGAGAAGGAGGAGAAGGAGGAGGAGCAGGAGGAGCAGGAGGGGGAGGGGGAGGGGAATGAGGAGCAGGAGGCGGAGGAGCAGGAGGCAGAGGAGGAGGAGGAGGAGGAGGAGGAAAAGTCTGCGCCCCGCCCCCCCCGCGTCTCCGAGGCCGGCGCCGCGGCCTCGAGGCCAAGCGCGCTGCGCGACCGGCTGGGGCCGCCGGCTGCGGGCACGGATGCAGGCACGGCGCGGCCGCCTCGCGTGGAGAGCGACGGGGGGCGGCAACAGCCCTGACCCCCTCTGGAACGAAGCCAGGGCGAGGACGAATTCGGGTGAGGATGAATCCTCATTCTCCTCCTCCCCCTCCTGCGCCTCCTCCTGCTCCTCCTCCTATTCCTCCTCCTGCTCTTCCTCCTCCTCCTCCTCCTCCTCCTCCTCCTCTCCTCTTCCTCTTCCTCCTCCCCCTCCTCCTCCTCCTCCTCCTTCTCCTCCTCCTCCTCCTCCTCCTCTGTTTCTGCCTTCTCTTCCCTCCCATTAACCGAGTGTGGATGGATCTGCGAAACATACGTAGGATGCCCGTAAATCCACAAAGCATCGATGCATTGTTTTGTGTGTTCGACGAAACATAAACTTTGGGGTATCTTAAATCGCAGCCGATATCCCACTCGAGGACAAATAGATCATCTCTGAGATCTGGCGGCGCCGGGGGATGTATGAGCGCCACCGCAGAGCGTGCTGGGAACCTCCGAGAGCGCTCCAGAAAGCCGTGGATCGGATTGGTCCTCGCCCTAGCCACGTGCGACCCCCATCGGGAAATCACAAAAACACGGTGGAGAGTGTTTGCTAGTTTTCGGCCTTCAAGGGCTCTTAGCGGGCCCCGGGACCGTCAACAAAACGGCTCAAAATGAAAATCCGAGCGCCGCGGGCATTTGGACGCAGTGAGCACGTGCCTCGGCATGCAGGGTTGCAGGGCGTGTGAGCACCACCTTGACCGAAACAACACGTCACGAAACGAGGGAGGGAGTCAGGCCCAAACATGCTCGCGTCGTAACCAAGACACATTGACGGGGAAATGTTGAAGCGTTTTTAGCCTCGGGGGGCCCTCGCCGGCCCAGGGGCCACCAAAAATAACTAGGGAGGAAAACCCGTTCCTGGGGAAACTGTCCAGACCGTTGGAATGCCGCTTTGTGAAACACTCCGTCGGATGTCTGGGGGGGTATGACAGCGACTAGCTCTCACCATCGCTCGAGCGTCAATTTCCAGTGCATGTTTCTCTGAAGCTACCCTGGAGACTTCGTTCGGCATTGCATTGGTAGGGCCACAACGTTCACGCAGGTGTCTTTGCTTAATTAACAGGGCTGCCGCACTCCGCCCTCAAAGTTACCCAGGGGGCCCTATGGGGCAACTGCGGCATACGCGGCTAAACGACTGCAACGTCCAACACGCGGCTAGAACACACAAGGCGAGGACACGACCGGGAAGTGTGAGCCACCCGACCCTGCCGTTGGGCGCGCGCGCGCCCGCGCCTGAACAAAACAAGTGAATGCATCTGCTGGCAGGAGCCCAAGGAATTCTCCGTGGGATCTGCCGCTTTTTCAAAAAAAAAAACTAACAACTTGCTCATGCAAATCACAAGCAGGTGACCCCAGCGGCAGCCTTGCGAAGGCGCCGGCGACGAACATGCGCGCCATGAGATCGAATACTAGCCCAAACGTTTTGCACGCCCCGAACAGATCCCACAGGAAATGGCGCGGGCAAGTTGAATCAAAACCTGCACCAATGCATTTGCTGGCACAACCAGTAACTAGAAACTCTCGGCTCCAATCAGTGCGCCAGGAAGAAAAGGAGCCGGGAGAAGGAAGAGGGAAGAGGGGATGGAGAGACTGTGACTGGATACTGGGGAGTGACCAGCATCCATGGGGGTGAGACTGGAGGCTGAAGCCTGCACCTGTGTCGTCACAGGGGGACGGCCCTACGCGGGGCTAGGCGGTGGCGCCAGGGCGCTGGCATCATTCGAACATCGCAGATCATACTCTTGTCAATTCAATCGCATATCACTCGAGCGTTGCATAGCCTTTGGGGAAACAACGGGAAAGAAGCAAGGGGAGGGAGGATGGAGTGGATGGAGGAGGGGATGGAGGGGAGGGGAGGGGAGGGAGGCAAAGAATGGGTGGGCAGATCTCCGACGACTTGAATTTTCCACCACGGGGCTTCTAAAACTCTGGACCACTTCCCAGGGATCGGCGTCTCGTCCTGGAACGCTCTCTGACAATCCTGGGGCCTGGCGAGGTCCCCGAGACGCCGAGAACGGCGACAAGTCTCCGCCTTGATTGTTGTCAATACGTCGGAGGTCCCTGACTTCGGATCCGCCGTGCTTTGGCTGATTCCGGAAATGAGGCGGAACTGTCCTTCTACTTGTTCGGGGCGCATGTCCGGCAAAATCTTCAGTCGGAGTATCAGCCAAAGCACGGCGAATCCGAAGTCAACGATCTGGACAGAGACAGACACAGACAGAGCCCGCGCCGAGGCACCTACGAGGGGTGCGGCGGGTGGGCGCCGGGGCGCCGATAGTTAAGGGTTGGCCGCTCAGAACAACTGGAGTCGGAGCGGTAAGAGCGGGAGTCGGAAAGAGTCGGAGACGGTAACGGAGCCGGAGTCGGAAAGATGCACTGTATAGACCCAGTCGTTGATCCGCAGTCGTGACATTGCTGCTTCAGCTGGGGAAGAGAGAACGGAGAGGGAGGGATGGGGGGTGGTACAGCTTAGGGTCGCGCACGGACGGCCCTCTCCCTGTTGCCCTGGTTGGCCTCGACAGGCCGCCCGTCCCAGTTGGCCTCAACAGGCCTCCCGAGTAATCCCAGCTGGCCTCAACAGGCCCCCGTGGTAAAGTCGGACCTGGGCCAGAAGAGCATCCTTCAAGAACATGAGAACCTCCGTCGGCCCGAACACACAGAACATCCGAGGGTACCCTCCCCAGAATGCACAAACACATCCAACGAACACGAAGGACATTAGGATACCCTCCCCGAACCGACCTCGACCTGATACCTCGGTCCGACTGTACTCGGGGGGCCGGTTGAGGCCAGCTGGGGCTACTCGAGGGCAGGCTGTCTGCGCGCAGCCCGAAGCCTTCCCAGACCCAGGCATCTGACGTCTCGATTCTTTCGAGACGCGGGCCCCCGACCTCTGAGTCGGCTACACGCAAGAGTGACCCTGGGTCAGAGTGACCTTTGGTGCGCGCCTTTGTGGGGGCCACGGGGGGGGGCAAACACAAGCATGCAAGATACTCCTAGCGCATCGTGTTCGGCGAATAGGGGGTCCCAATGGGCCCGTACCGAAGGTCACTCTGGCGAAGGGTCACTCTCACGTCTAGTAGACGTTCGACCACTTCCTCGCGACCCGTTTTCCATCCCGAGTCGTTTTTGACGGTCCCGGGGCCCGGTGGGAGCCCCGAGAGGCCGAAAACGTATGAAACAGCTCCGTCTCGACTTGTACCGATTCGTTCGATTTTGTCGTCTTGATAAAGCTCCGAGAACGAACACGTCGTGACTTCTCCAACGCCAGGTGTCTGGGGGTGGCGGGGGAGGAGGGCGCCGACGACGGGGCGGTCGGGCGAGCAGGGCGCTCCCCCCCACAGCTTCGACGGGGCGTGTGCCCAGTCGGTGGGGCGGCAGGAGGGGGGGGGGAAGGGCCCAGGCCGCGGGAGATGCCCTGTGAGCGCCCGAGCTGGAGCAACCCTGGGCAGGAGTGATCTTCCCAGAGATCCAACGCATTGACAAAAATCAAGACGGACATTTTTCTCAATTGTCGGCCACTAAGGGCCCTCGCCGGGTCGCCGGGACTCAAGACGAAAAACAGGTACTGGGGAATGGTTCGAGACTTCCGGGGACCCCGCATTGAAAAAATCACGACGTCGCATGTCTGGGTTTGGTGCGCGGCCCAAGGGGACGAGGGCCCTTCGGGGCACCACCAGGCGCGCAAACCGCTGCCATCGCATTCAGCGACCGGGGGGCCCCATAGGGCCTGCACCAAAGGTCAGCCCCGGCGAAAAGTCACTCTTGCGTGTAGTCAGGAGTAGGACTCCCCCGGTCCGCTAGGCCAGCATGGTGCTCCGAACGCTCGCGCAGTGCACGCGTGCTCCCGAAGCCCACGAGGAGATCACGTGCGCGTCGTGTGCTTCGCTGCTGACAGCTTGAGCGATGGCACTGCCAGGAGGAACGCGACATGAGGAACGAAACAATTTCTAAGGAATGGCCGAGCCCCTGCTTTGGAGGCGTTCCCTCCTCTTTGCCTCTCGTTCTGAACGCTGGAGAGGCTTCCTGGCAAAATCGCGAGGGAACGGGAGCAGACCCAAGGAACCACCGAGCCCCTTCCGAACCCGAGACCTTCGCGTCGCATCGGATCAACGGAAAATCGAAACCGAATCGGATCGGGCCGGTCGAAATCCACATCGAATGGGATCGGTCGGGTCGAAACGGACCTTGTACTCTCGAAGCCCACGCAAGTTCAGGTACACGCACGTCTTGACTTTTCGCTCCTGGCAGCTACATGCAGCAGGCTCGTGTCGTGACGACAGTCGGCGTAGGCTCCCGAATTCCCGAGCGGCCGGGTGGAATTGTTCGGCCTCGCGCGAGCGCGGTTTCTCCGTGGCGTGGGTCGTGCGATGTCGGCCGCTTCCAGGCCACAGGCGGCCGTTCAACCCTGAACGCCCGCAGCGGTCGAATAGGAGATCGACTACAGAGCTGATGCACCCCAAGCTTGTTTTTTTCCGCCGAGTCTACGACACAATACGTGTACTCTTCTCAGCTTAGATCTACGAGCATTCTACGCCTTTCCCGTAGATTCGACGAACAAACAGTTCTGGGGCACAAGAACTCTGTAGTCGATCCCCTACTCGAGCACTGGGGTCGACCACGTCGACACAGCGCGGACCTACCATGCGAGGCCTGTGATCGCAAGGCCGCCTCGCACGCCAGCTGCCTGTGCTGGGCTGGCGTGCCTCTCGATCCGGGCAGCGGGGAATGAGAGGGGGGAGGCTGAGGAGAAGAAGGAAGAGCCGGGGAAACGAGGAGGAGGTGGGGGGCAGAGGTGGAGGAAGAGGAGGGGAGAGCGGTGCAGGGGTTAGGCGGGATGGGTCTTCTCTTCCCCCCTTTCCCCCCCCTAAATTCTAAGATCCACCCTCACAACCTGATGTGACTTCTCCATCCGCCTTTCGAGAGACTCCTGGACCTAGCTAAACGGCCCTAGAACCCAATCATCCTCTCCTCCTCCTCGTCCTTCTCTGGATGACTCTGGAGGACTCTGGCGGCCTCCACATTGTTCTGAAGGTTATCGGAGTATCCTCAACGCCTCCGGAGCGTCTTCGGGACCTCTGGACATCTTTCTCGCCACCTACTCTTCCATTCCCATTCTCCTTCTTGGTCCTTCTCTCCTCCCTGGGCCTCCTGGGCCTCCTGTTCCTCCTCCTCCT